GATTCATAACCCATGCGCTCGCAAAGAACAAGAAAAATGGTATGGGCCGTTGATATTGTTTGTGAATTTTGCTTCTCAGTGCAGGAGTGATCAAAATTGGTAGATTGATAAATCTTTTGCTTTTGATCATAAAAATTAGATATTGTGCAATACTATATGGATAATTTAGTTGATGTGGTATCAGCATCCTCACAAATTCATGAATTATTATTGCCATATTTTGATTCTATAAACTTACACATGATTTGCTCACACAGAACACACACACACTCACACACAGAAAGAACAGCATTTCCATTCAGTGTATTATGGCAAGTGATGCTATCAGGATTTTCAAGACAGCCAGTGGTTGCTGAAATTCATGATTAATTCTTCATCCTGTTCCTCTTCTTGTCAACAGGTGAGGAGTCAAGTAGTGACAACCCGAAGAAGAAGAAAAGAACATGACGAGGCCTGTGAGAAAGAAGGAATGTGTGACTGTCGAGATGCAGGAAGGGAATGTCTCACTTTGACCAAACTTGGGAGCAAATTTGCTGAAAATGTTATTTGTCTTTCATTTCTTTTGAACTTCATGTTTTTTCTCATCTTTCTATTTCATGTTCTGGTTCTCTCTTTTTTCTCTCTTCTCTTTTTTATTGAAAGTTCTCCTTCCAAGTTATATCTTCAGTGTATGTTGTGGCCAGAAATGTTTTTTTTTTTTTTTTTCAAATATATCCTTTTTTGTATCTGAAAGTTTTCATTCATTCCTATAGATTTAAGGACAAGCTTTATTTTTCAGAATGCAATGACCCAACTTATGGTAATAATCAGAGTTAACTTTTGCATTTCTATCATGGTAACATATCTGTCCAAAGCAGGTTGTAATGTAAGCACAAGTTAGAGTTACATAGTGAAATCATCTAATGCTTTATGGTGATTTGTTTAAAGGGAAATGCTGTTAGTTATTGTGATGAACATATTCTATGAGTTTATAGCATTCAGATAAGATTGGGTTTATTTTGTTATCACCATTATTATTTTTTTCTTATTCTTATTCTTATTACTAACATTATCATTGTTATTGTCTTTATTATTGTTATGGATATTGTTATTATTATTATTGCTTTTTTGTATATATATATAATCTTGTATATATAGTTTTTAACCATGGATGAACACTAATAGGAATAAACGATATCTAAAATCTTCAAAAAAAATTACATAACAAAGGATCATCCTATAATAATGGAATAGAAGTCTTCTTTCAGATAGTGTTTGAAGCATTTTTTTATTTTTTTATTCATAATTTCATAGTGACTGAACTATTGATGTGTAGTGCCTATTGGCATGGTGTAACCATTGTTTATTAAGCTAATAAGATTCTTTAAATATGCTTTTTCTTTTCTTTTCTTTTACTTATTTACCTTCATTTTATGTATAGCTTTATACTACATGGAAATGGTAAATCTGGAACTGTTGGGAACTATGATTTACAACTAACTCTATTCTTTCGTTCGGTTTCCTTTCTTATGTTTAATGCATTTCTCTTAAGACAAGGAAATGACTGATTGCATTCAAACTCATTACTTTCAATTAGGACTGACATGTTGGAGTATGAGTGTATATGTTCACTTAATCCATTTATGCTGAATGTTTTATTGTTCTGTTAGACACTGTACTATCAGAGGGAATGGCCCAGTCAGTCTAGAGGGAATGACCCAGTTAAGAAGGAATGACCTGGTCTAGAACGAAAGACCCAAATTAGAAAGAATGACCCAGTTTAGAAGGAATGACCCAGTTTGAAAGGAATAGCCAAATCTGTATGGAGTATTCTATTAGGATAATCAAAAAGTCACTTAACTATAATGAATTTCTTGTTATTCAGTGTGCAATGTTTTTTCATCTTGTTTTTCTATGGATAACAAGGTTTCCAATTCGTTAGGATGTTGATTAGTTGGTGAAACATTGAAATATTTCCAATCCTTCATCCTGAAATTTGAAGAAGAAAATTTGATGTAGAAAGCAGAACAAACCAGGAGATATTTCTGTGGATTTCTTTACACATATTTGTCATTTTAACACTCAATGCAAGACACATAGAAGAGATATAAATGTAGAAGGAATATAATTAAACATGTACAATTAATAAAATAGTATTGTCATGTCTTCTACTTACATTTTTTTATTTGTATACAAAGATCAGCAGTGCTGTAGTCCTAAACACAAACGTTCTTTTTGCATTCCAGTGAGCCTATGCAAATGCCGTCCATGTGCTCGTGACCGTCACATTTCTCGCCGGCTTCCTGTCGGGGAGAAGGGTGAAAATTAGGACATGCATATATATATATACATTATATATATATATATATATATATATATATATATATATATATATATATATATATGTGTGTGTGTGTGTGTGTGTGTGTGTGTGTGTGTGTGTGTGTGTGTGTGTGTGTGTGTGTGTGTGTGTGTGTTTATGTACATGGATAAATACACATGCATATATACATGTACATCTATACTGACACGTAGTCATACCCACACACGGGCGTGCATATTCACACGTATGTGTGTGGTATACGGGCAGCTGAGATGCGTTAGGTCGAAGGCAACCCCGGCCATGCCTTGCACACACGGGGTACTTTAGCGGAAAAAAATCGGCTGCAATTTGACTGAAACCACTAACTACCATACTAAACCTTTGATTATTGAATTCTTATAATTATTGTCACACGCACACCGGACGCGAAGAACCCTTAAACGGAGTCTAATTCCAAAATCATCAACATCCTCACACATGTACCCCCGTATTGAGCTCACCCTCAGGCAGACTTCGCAGCAGCCGCAGTGTTCGAGCTGGGTGCCGTGGGTGCAGTCGGCTGTGCTCGGGCAGGAGACGGTGCTGCAATCCTCGCAGCGGTGAGCCTCGGCCCTGCAAACACCATGCACAGTGGTAAACATAAGAGAGAAAGTGGTAAGGACGTCGTTCGTTGGAGATGAAACGTGATAAAAGTCCCGTTTATGCAAGGGAAAAGGGTAAGGTAATTGATCGGATTAGTTGTAGAAAAAGGAAGCGAGGAACCAAAGGCATCCTACACGAAGGTCTTGTCTTATATTGAGCAAATATCCTCCCTAAATGACCCTCCCTCCGTACCACACTCGCACATGAGGGCGAGGAAACACTCCCACGACTTTATTTCCTAAATTACATCTTTATATCTGGTCGTAACTTAAAAATGCTCGTTGAATGGTTCATAAATTTTCTTTGAATGGGCTCGCTGCACGACTGAAACTTCACTTCGCTCGCCAACCTTAACCCCAATAAGGAGCTGAAGTGACGCCCCTGCTCGCTGCTGGACTCACCCGCACAGGAGGGCGAGGAGGACGACGCCAGCGAGGAGGACGAGAGAGGCGCGCATGGTGATGTCTCTGTGACGGCTGATGCACGACTGACTTGGCTTCCTCGCCGCCTCATGGTACTTAACCCCCGGTCGAGTTTTTTTTTTTTTTTTTTTTTTTTTGTCGTCCTCTGACGTAACTTCTGTTGGTCTGTTCTGTTTCCAGGAATATTTTTTCAGGAACTTCTAGGATGATTATTTTTACAGTCAACTCATGAAATAGGAAAATATTTTGATGTACGTAATTCAAGAGGACCTTCCTTGGGCGTTTGGGGGGTGGGGGGTCATCGAAAAATATTGATAAAAAACGATTTTTACATATTTAATGTATTTCAGTATTCCACATCTTTTGATAACTAATTTATGGGGGTAACCACAAGGGCGTCGATGCCCAATTGGTTACTGCATGTGTCTGCACAGTTGATCAAATGTCCAGAAGGATAATAGTTCATGTCATAAAGAAATATTGTATATATATCAAATAATTTCCCAAAACGAGTTTTTCATTCGCGTTCGTTTCTTTAGAGAAACAAAATAAATTTCAACTCATTTTTCCAGATTTCAAACATTTGTGTAAAAAAAACACGAGCGAAAAAATGTAAAAAAATAAATATCTCTGTCGCTTTATGCGCTTTTTTACAAGCTGTCCAGTGATGCAACCAAAACTGAAGTCGGTTAAGGTTGAACGGGGGTAATTCCTTTGAAATCAACCACCGACAAACCCTCTACATCGCGGTTTTCATTCAAATTTGGCACATATTCTTGTGGTGCGATTCTAAATACACGCCCCACGTGGACGCCACCCAAGGGTCAGATAAAAGGGCGACCCAGCTTGACCTCTCCCTCTCTCTCCCGGCCTCTCCGCTGACCGCGACATCGCCTCGCCATGGCGGGTTGGCGGCGGATCCACCCAGCGCTGACCAGTCGTATCCTGTTCTGCTTCTACTCGTGTATAAACTCTTAGGAATAAAGAGTCAGCCGTGTCGGCATCTTACTCTGCCCACCACTATCTATACAGAAGGTACATCGTAACCCTTTGTAGTGTGGCTGTGGAGGCGCAGGAAGGGAACGTCTCGCTTCGGCCAAACGGGAGTAAATTCACTTTTTTTTTTTTTTTTTTTTTTTTTTTTTACTCCATACCCGTTCTTCTTTTTCCATTTCTTTCTTATTTGTTCTGCTTTATTGAAAGTCCTCCTTCCCAGCTAATGACTTCAGTGTATGTTGTGGCCAGATCTTTTTTTTTTTTTTTCAAAATATATCCTTTTTTGTATTTAAAAGTTTTCATTCATTCCTATGGATTTAAGGGCAAGCTTCTTCATGCTTTAGTTCAGAATGCAACGACATGTCTTGGTGGCAATACTCAGAGTGAGCTTTTGCATTTCTATCGCGGTAAAATATCTGTCCAAAGCAAGTAGTAATGTAAGCCCAGAATTACAAAGTGAAAAACCTAATCCTTTATGGTGATTTGGTGAAAGGAAAATGCTAATAGTTATTGTGATGAACTCATTCTGTGACTTTATGGCATAAGATCATAACCAGATATGATAAGAATTTGTTTTCATTTTGTCTTCATCATGAACAATCATTACTATGATTTTATTTTTGTTATCTTTATTATTATTATTATCATTGTCATTGAAATTTTCATAACCTCATTTATAGTTTTTAACCATGGACTAGGAACAATATGACTGAAATGGTGATAGAGGAACACAATATGTGCAATCTTAAATATATATATATATATATATATATATTATATATATATATATATATATATATGTATGTATATATATATACATATATATTTCATAATAAAGGATCTTTCTATAGTAAGGGGATAAATCTTCTTTCAGATAATGTTTGAAGTTATATTTTCATAATTTCAAAGCGACTGAACCATTAACATCTTGGGCCTACTGAAATGGCGTAACTCCTGCAGTCACCTTGTTTCAAATCTGCCAAGACCCGATTCCCTTTTTCCCGAGATAAATAGTCTGTGTTGTTATTCATGTATTCACTCTAGTGTGTGCTCAGTTCATGAATCGGACGTTCTGTGTATGGGAATGGAATAAATCTGGAAAATTCAAAGGAGAAGCACTTTTGAGAGTATTTAAAGTGAAAGGAAGGTAAAAAAAAAAATGTGGATTGCTTTCCAGGCGAAGTCCGGATACATCGAATGTCCAAGTGCAGTCTATTTTTTTTTATTTTTTTAAATTAATATAAACTGAATGGAAACAAAGATCAAACAGAATACAATAGGCATGTTACAGCTGGCATAAGTTTGATACATCCTACATTATTTATGCAGTTAATAAGATTCTTTAAATGTACTTTTTCCTTTCCCTTTCTTTTACTCAATTAGCTTCATTTTACTCAGTTTTATTTTACATAGAAAGGTAAATTTTGGACTGTTGCGAACTGTAAGTTTATATGTTCACTTCATCAGAAACTTATTCCATGTCTCTTGTTGCATGTCTCATTGCTCTGGTCAACACTGGACTGTTGGAAGGAATGAACCAGTATAGAATGAACGACCCAGTTTAACAGGAATGGAATATTCTGTCAGGATAAATGAAAAAGTCACTTGCTATAAAGGTAATTCTTGTATTTCAGTGTGCAGTATGTGGTTTTCCATCTTGTATGTATATGAATACTAAGGTATTAAATTCTTCATTAATATGTTGATTAGCAGGATGCAACATTGGAATATTTCCACTCCTTCATCCTGAGATTTGAAGAAGAAAAAGATGTAAAAACGAAACAAACCGAGGGATATTTCTGTGCCTTTCATTTTAACAAGCAATGCAAGAAACACACAGAAGATATATAAATGTAGAATGAATATAATTTGTATGACTATCGAATTAAACCTGTAGAATGAATGAAATAGATGTCACGTTTCCTACTTAGGTTTTTTATCTGTTCACAAGGATCAGCAGTGCTGTAGTCCTAAACACAAACGTTCTTTTTGCATTTCAGTGAGCCTATGCAAATGCCGTCCATGTGCTCGTGACCGTCACATATCTCGCCGGCTTCCTGTCGGGGAGAAGGGTGAAAATTAGGACATGCATATATATATATATACATATATAACATATATGTGTGAGTGTATGTGTTTATGTACATGGATAAATACACATGCATATATACATGTACATCTATACTGACACGTAGCCATACCCACACACGGGCGTGCGGATTCACGCAACTGAGATGCGTTAGGTCGAAGGCAACCCCGGCCATGCCTTGCACACACGGGGTAATTTTGCAGAAAAAATCGGCTGCAATTTGACTGAAGCCACTAACTACCATACTAAAGCTTTGATTATTGAATTCTTATCATCATTGTCACACACACACGCACACCGGACGCGAAGAACCCTTAAACGGAGTCTAATTCCAAAATCATCAACATCCTCACACATGTACCCCCGTATTGAGCTCACCCTCAGGCAGACTTCGCAGCAGCCGCAGTGTTCCAGCTGGGTGCCGTGGGTGCAGTCGGCTGTGCTCGGGCAGGAGACGGTGCTGCAATCCTCGCAGCGGTGAGCCTCGGCCCTGCAAACACCATGCACAGTGGTAAACATAAGAGAGAAAGTGGTAAGGACGTCGTTCGTTGGAGATGAAACGTGATAAAAGTCCCGTTTATGCAAGGGAAAAGGGTAAGGTAATTGATCGGATTAGTTGTAGAAAAAGGAAGCGAGGAACCAAAGGCATCCTACACGAAGGTCTTGTCTTATTTTGAGCAAATATCCTCCCCAAATGACCCTCCCTCCGTACCACACTCGCACATGAGGGCGAGGAAACTGAAGCGGTACCAAAGCATCCTACATCTATATCCTTGCCCTAAATTGACCAAAAATCCCCATTCCTCTCCCACCCAAAAGGACCACTCGCTGTCAGGGGCGTCATTTTGGGTTTTGGGGCAAGTGCTCCCCACAAGACTTTGGCGTCCTCCTTCAAGGTCTGGCCTACACACAAAAGAGGGCCACACGATTTGATTTCCTAAATTACATCTTTATATCTAGTCGTAACTTAAAAATGCTCGTTGAATGGTTCATAACATTTTTTTTGAAGGGGCTCGCTGCACGACTGAAACTTCACTTCGCTCGCCAACTTAACCCCAATAAAGCTGAAGTGACGCCCCTGCTCGCTGCTGGACTCACCCGCACAGGAGGGCGAGGAGGACGACGCCAGCGAGGAGGACGAGAGAGGCGCGCATGGTGATGTCTCTGCGACGGCTGATGCACGACTGACTTGGCTTCCTCGCCGCCTCATGGTACTTATCCCACAGTTGAGGTAGGATTTTTTTTTTTTTTTTTTTGTCGTCCTCTGACGTAACTTCTGTTGATCTGTTCTGTTTCCAGGAATATTTTTTTCAGGAACTTCCAGGATGATTATTTTTACAGTCAACTCATGAAATAGGAAAATATTTTGATGTACATAATTCAAGGGGACCTTCCCTGGGCGTGGGGGGGGGGGTCATCGAAAAATATTGATAAAACGATTTTTACAATTTAATGTATTTCAGTATTTCGTATCTCTTGATAACTAATTTATGGGGGTAACCACAAGGGCGTCGATGCCCCATTGGTTACTACATGTGTCTGCACAGTTGATCAAATGTCCAGAAGGATAATAGTTCATGTCATAAAGAAATATTGTATATATATCAAATAATTTCCCAAAACGAGTTTTTCATTCGCGTTCGTTTCTTTAGAGAAACAAAATAAATTTCAACTCATTTTTCCAGATTTCAAACATTTGTGTAAAAAAAAAAAACGCATGCGGAAATGTAAAAAAATAAATATCTCTGTCGCTTTATGCGCTTTTTTACAAGCTGTCCAGTGATGCAACCAAAACTGAAGTCGGTTAAGGTTGAACGGGGGTAATTCCTTTGAAATCAACCACCGACAAACCCTCTACATCGCGGTTTTCATTCAAATTTGGCACATATTCTTGTGGTGCGATTCTAAATACACGCCCCACGTGGACGCCACCCAAGGGTCAGATAAAAGGGCGACCCAGCTTGACCTCTCCCTCTCTCTGACGCCCTCTCTGCGAGAGCGACCCGGCCTCTCCGCTGACCGCGACATCGCCTCGCCATGGCGGGTTGGCGGCGGATCCACCCAGCGCTGACCAGTCGTATCCTGTTCTGCTTCTACTCGTGTATAAACTCTTAAGAATGAAGAGTCAGCCGTGTCGGTATATTACTCTGCCCACCACTATCTATACAGATGGTACATTGTGACCCTTTATAGTATGACTATGAAGGTGTAGTGACCCGCATTTAGACTCGCACAGCCACAGCTTCGACACAAGATCCTAGCCTTAAAGGGCTTATGTGAAGCAATTATCGTGCATTGTTTTTTCCTTGAATATTGGTCAATAATGTATGCTTAGCCTATTCATGCATTTTTTTCCCGAAGAGACCCTCTGGTATCCCCAAAACCCGCATAGCAACGCCCTTAGAAACGAAGATGCAAAACATCGGCGATCTTCGGCAATCCCCGGTAGTGACGTCATTCCCAGAACCAGGGAGAACCTTGTTGAATAGCGTGATACACATAATAATGCACTGCGAATCAAGAATATCACGGAATTGTCCCAATTTCAAGCTATAAACAGTCTGTTTAAAAAATACATTTCTCTGTTATGCAAAATAAGCAAAAGCAGAAAAATATAGTAAATTTTAATCTGTCAGTTTATTTCGCACTCTGTCTATGTCTGTCTATCTGTGTATCTCTCATTTTCTGTGTGTGTGTGGATAGAGAGATGTGTGTGTCCCTCTCTTTTTCGTTACCTTTCCATTCACTTTTCCTGGTTCATTAACATATGTATTTGACACATTTTTTTTCTTTTCTTTTCCATCCCAGCATTTTTCTCCCCCCCCCCCCCTCTCTCTCTCTCTCTCTCTCTCTCTCTCTCTCTCTCTCTCTCTCTCTCTCTCTCTCTCTCTCTCTCTCTCTCATATGCTATCTCTATCTCCTTCTCTATCATATTCATCCTTTTCCTTCTATCATTGTAATTACTACTACAATATCAACAGTTTTTATCATCAATGGTTATAAATTGCCCAGTGAAGAGAAAATACATAATAACAAAATGATGAAGAGGTGTATCTTGATGTAATCAGTACATGAATATATACATCAAATCATTTATGAACAATTAATCAAATATGCGCTGGGCCTGGAGACCTGCCTGTCATCATGGACATGTCAACAAAACATGATTAGTAACATGCTCTTTTTTACTTTCTCGAGAACGCTATCATCAGCTGATGTCTGATCCAATATGGATTGATGTACATGGTGATGTACAGTTGTATTACTACACAGAGGTAGGGTAGGTACACCCCAAAAAGCACAACACAAATAAACACCGATGCCCCTCCACTCGCCAATGGATGTAGGCCTGCGCCACGCGGGATCACACGTTCGACCATAAAAATATTTTAAAAATCACCATTCATTCAATCTCTTCGGGTCTCGACGCCACTCCATGTCTGGCTGGTTTGGCACAACTTTCACGACATCCACAGCGTCGGGCTCGTGCATGTACGGTCCAACAACCATCAACCCTTGATATTCCTCTTCTTCCAACTCTTCGAAGACGTAGGCACCCTCTGAAGAACTTTTACCAATGTCCTCGTCGGAATAATCCGATGAACTTCACTGCCGCTGTATTGTAGTGAGTCCGCCATGTACAATGTATTGAATGCAGATAATGCTATGATCGTGTTCTGGAATTGACGTCACACATCCGGGTTCCGGGATTTTCTCAATTTTGGGGAATTATTTTCAGATTTCCTTTTTACTGATATTAGAGATATTTAGTTTGCGAGCTAATTTTTTCCTATTTAAAATTTTCAGTTGATACTTCACATTAGCCCTTTAAGTTGCCGGAAAGAAAGTCTACCTCCATGCTTCCTGTGACAACATAAAGAAAACGGGACTCGTCATAATCCTACCAATACACCATGTTTTATTTTTAAAAGTCATTTTAAAGTTTTTAGAGCAAGGGAATCTTTTATATCTTTGTTCCTCTTTTGAACATTATATATAATTTTAGAGAGGCTCCATAAAGATCAAGTAATAAAATGCCACGAATCAGCAGGGAAGATGTTTCTCTAAAAGAAAGGAATTCCTATATTCATTTTTGGAATAAAATTAATTTTAAAAGATCATTTTCACATTATTTTATTATCATATATGTCAGTGGGGATTTTTATTGATTCACTTCTTTTTAACTAATTGAAACCATTTCCTGGAGCGGGGTTGATGAGGTTACCCTCGCTCGCGCGCGCGCTCTTGAGAGACCCGAGACCCGTAGCGAGCAGGTGGAGCATTTTGAAAGCACTCAAGTCCTACCTGGACTTTGCTAAGTTTTTGGCGACTCCAGGGGAGCATTCTCACGCCAGCCCTAAGTTAAGTTGTACTGGTTTTACGGTCGTGACTGGTTGTGGTTTACAAATGCTTTATTCTGTTTGAATTCAATAAAATTGTAATTGTGTTATGTGATACTTGCTTTTCTCTAAAATGCCCACAAAACACATTGTGAAATATAAAAAAGGTCTTGTGAATAAGAAAAACGTACGAAAAGGATGGAAATCGTCAGACAATCGCCTCGCCATGGCGGGTTGGCGGCGGATCCACCCAGCGCTGACCAGTCGTATCCTGTTCTCTGGTGTTGTAATTTACAAGATACTTTACAATGTGTGACGTCATAACATGGCGGCTGATTTTGTTTGGAGTATGGGCTTCGGAGGCCTTACGACGTTGTAACCGCTCCGATGTGAGATACATTGTAAACTGTTTTGAGTATCCGGCCCCTGTTTCTGCTCGTGTGTCAACTCTTAGGAATGAAGAGTCAGCCGTGTCGGCATATTACTCTGCCACCAGTATCTATACAGAAGGTACATCGTAACCCTTTCTTATCTCTCCTGCTTTATTGAAAGTTCTCCTTCCCAGCTAATAACTTTAGCATGTTCTGGCCAGATCTTTTTTTTTTTTTTTTTTTTTCTATCGTGGTAATATATCTGTCCAAAGCAAGTAGTAATGTAAGCCCAGAATACATTGTGAAACAACCTTATCCTTTATGGTGATTTGGTGAAAGGAAAATGCTAATAGTTATTGTGATGAACTCATTCTATGACTTAATAGCGGAAGATCACCCTAGATATGATAGAGGTCGTTATCATCATTTCATCTTCATCATCATGATGAATCATTACTATGATTTAATTTTTGTTATCTTTATTATTACCATTATCATTGTCGTTTGTTATCATTATTATCTTTATTACTGAGATTGTTAATAAGCTCATTTATAGTTTTTAACCATGGCTAAGACCAGTAAGACTGAAATGGTGATAGAGGAGCACAATATTTGCAATCTTTAAAAAAATACATATATTACATAACAAAGGATCATTCTATAGTAAGGGGATAGGTCTTCTTTCAGATAATGTTTGAAGTTATATTTTCATAATTTCAAAGCGACTGAACATTAACATCTTGGGCCTACTGAAATGGCGTAACTCCTGCAGTCACCTTGTTTCAAAATCTGCCAAGACCGATCCCCTTTTTCCCGAGATAAATAGTCTGTGTTATTCATGTATTCACTCTAGTGTGTGCTCAGTTCATGAATCGGACGTTCGTATGTATGGGAATGGAATAAATCTGGAAATTCAAAGGAGAAGCACTTTTGAGAGTATTTTAAAGTGAAAGGAAGGTAAAAAAAAAATGTGGATTGCTTTCCAGGCGAAGTCCGGGATGACATCGAATGTCCAAGTGCAGTCTATTCACTTTTATATATATATATATATATATATATATATATATATATATATATATATATATATATATATATATATAAACTGAATGGAAACAAAGATCAGACAGAATACAATAGGCATGTTGCAGCTGGCATAAGTTTGATACATCCTACATTGTTTATGCAGTTAATAAGATTCTTTAAATGTATTTTTTCCTTTCCCTTTCTTTTACTCAATTAGCTTCATTTTACTCAGTTTGATTTTACATAGAAAGGTAAATTTTGGACTGTTGCGAACTGTAAGTTTATATGTTCACTTCATCAGAAACTTATTCCATGTCTCTTGTTGCATGTCTCATTGCTCTGGTCAACACTGGACTGTTGGAAGGAATGAACTAGTATAGAATGAACGACCCAGTTTAACAGGAATGGAATATTCTGTCAGGATAATTGAAAAAGTCACTTGCTATAAAGGTAATTCTTGTATTTCAGTGTGCAGTATGTGGTTTTCCATCTTGTATGTATATGAATACTAAGGTATTCAATTCTTCATTAATATGTTGATTAGCAGGATGCAACATTGGAATATTTCCAGTCCTTTATCCTGAAATCTGAAGAACAAGATGTAAAAACGAAACAAACCGAGGGATATTTCTGTGCCTTTCATTTTAACAAGCAATGCAAGAAACACACAGAAGATATATAAATGTAGAATGAATATAATTTGTATGGCTATCGAATTAAACCTGTAGAATGAATGAAATAGATGTCACGTTTCCTACTTAGGTTTTTTATCTGTTCACAAGGATCAGCAGTGCTGTAGTCCTAAACACAAACGTTCTTTTTGCATTTCAGTGAGCCTATGCAAATGCCGTCCATGTGCTCGTGACCGTCACATATCTCGCCGGCTTCCTGTCGGGGAGAAGGATGAAAATTAGGACATGCATATATATATACATATACATATATATATGTGAGTGTGTGTGTTTATGTACATGGATAAATACATATGCATATATATATATAATATATAATATATATATAATATATAATATATATATATATGTACATCTATACTGACATGTAGCCATACCCACACACGGGCGTGCATATTCACACTTATGTGTGTGTGGTATACGGGCAGCTGAGATGCGTTAGGTCGAAGGCAACCCCGCCCATGCCTTGCACACACGGGGTAATTTAGCGGAAAAAATCGGCTGCAATTTGACTGAAGCCACTAACTACCATACTAAAGCTTTGATTATTGAATTTTATCATCATTGTCATACACACACGCACACCGGACGCGAAGAACCCTTAAACGGAGTCTAATTCCAAAATCATCAACATCCTCACACATGTACCCCCGTATTGAGCTCACCCTCAGGCAGACTTCGCAGCAGCCGCAGTGTTCCAGCTGGTGCCGTGGTGCAGTCGGCTGTGCTCGGCAGGAGACGGTGCTGCAATCCTCGCAGCGGTGAGCCTCGGCCTGCAAACCATGCACAGTGGTAAACATAAGAGAGAAAAGTGGTAAGGACGTCGTTCGTTGGAGATGAAACGTGATGAAAGTCCCGTTTATGCAAGGGAAAAGGTAAGGTAATTGATCGGATTAGTTGTAGAAAATGAAGCGAGGAACCAAAGGCATCCTACACGAAGGGTCTTGTCTTATTTGAGCAAATATCCTCCCCAAATGACCCTCCCTCCGTACCACGCTCGCACATGAGGCGAGGAAACTGAAGCGGTACCAAAGCATCCTACATCTATATCCTTGCCTAAATTGACCAAAAATCCCCATTCCTCTCCCACCCAAAAGGACCACTCGCTGTCAGGGGCGTCATTTTGGTTTTGGGGCAAGTGCTCCCCCACAAGACTTTGGCGTCCTCCTTCAAGGTCTGGTCTACACACAAAAAAGGGCCACACGATTTGATTTCCTAAATTACATCTTTATATCTGGTCGTAGCTTAAAAATGCTCGTCGTATGGTTCATAACATTTCTTTTTTTTGAAGGGGCTCGCTGCACGACTGAAACTTCTCTTCGCTCGCCAACCTTAATCCCAATAAAAAGCTGAAGTGACGCCCCTGCTCGCTGCTGGACTCACCCGCACAGGAGGAGGAGGACGACGCCAGCGAGGAGGACGAGAGAGGCGCATGGTGATGTCTCTGTGACGGCTGATGGACGACTGACTTGGCTTCCTCGCCGCCTCATGGTACTTATCCCACAGTTGAGGTAGGATTTTTTTTTTTTTTTTTTTTTTGTCGTCCTCTGACGTAACTTATGTTGGTCTGTTCTGTTTCCAGTAATATTTTTTTTCAGGAACTTCCAGGATGATTATTTTTACATTCAACTCATGAAATAGGAAAATATTTTGAAGTACATAATTCAGGGACCTTCCCTGGGCGTTGGAGGGGGGGGGGTCATCGAAAAAATATTGATAAAACGATTTTTACAAATTTAATGTATTTCAGTATTCCGCATCTCTTGATAACTAATTTATGGGGTAACCACAAGGGCGTCGATGCCCCATTGGTTACTGCATGTGCCTGCACAGTTGATCAAATGTCCAGAAGGATAATAGTTCATGTCATAAAGAAATATTGTATATATATCAAATAATTTCCCAAAACGAGTTTTTCATTCGCTTTCGTTTATTTAGAGAAACAAAATAAATTTCAACTCATTTTTCCAGATTTCAGACATTTGTTAAAAAAACGCGAGCGAAAAATGTAAAAAAATAAATATCTCTGTCGCTTTATGCGCATTTTTACAGTGTCCAGTGATGCAACCAAAACTGAAGTCGGTTAAGGTTGACCGGAGTAATTCCTTTGAAATCAACCACCGTCAAACCCTCTACATCGCGGTTTTCATTCAAATTTGGCACATATTCTTGTGTGTGCGATTCTAAATACACGCCCCACGTGGACGCCACTCAAGGGTCAGATAAAAGGGCGACCCAGCTTGACTCTCCCTCTCTCTGACGCCCCTCTCTGCGAGAGCGACCCCGGCCTCTCCGCTGACCGCGACATCGCCTCGCCATGGCGGGTTGGCCGCGGATCCACCCAGCGCTGACCAGTCGTATCCTGTTCTGCTTCTACTCGTGTATAAACTCTTAGGAAGAGTCAGCCGTGTCGGCATATTACTCTGCCCACCAGTATCTATACAGAAGGTACATCGTAACCCTTTGTAGTGTGGCTGTGGAGGCGCAGGAAGGGAACGTTTCGCTTCGGCCAGACGGGAGTAAATTTAGTTTTTTTGTTTTTCTTTTATTTATTTATTATTATTTTTTACTCCATACCCGTTCTTCTTTTTCCTTTTCTTTCTTATCTTCTGCTTTGTTAAAAGTTCCCTTCCAGTTAATAACTTTAGTGTATGTTGTGGCCAGATCTTTTTCTTTTCAAATATATCCTTTTTTGTATTTTAAAAATTCATTCTGTGGCAATACTCAGAGTGAGCTTTTTGCTTTTCTATCGTGGTAAATATATCTGTCCAAAGCAAGTAGTAAAGTAAGCCCAGAATTGCATAGTGAAACAACCTAATCCTTTATGGTGATTTGGTGAAAGGAAAATGCTAATATTCATTCTGTGACTTTATGGCGTAAGATCACAACCAGATATGATAAAGTTTGTTATTATCATTTCATCTTCATCATCATGATGAATCATTACTATGATTTTATTTTTGTTATATTTATTATTACCATTATCATTGTCATTGTTATCATTATCTTTATTATTTTTTATAACCTCATTTATAGTTTTTAACCATGTACTAAGACCAGTAACACTGAAATGGTGATAGAGGAGCACAATATTTGCAATCTTTAAAAAAATATACATAAAGGATCATTCTATAGTAAGGAGATAGACCTGTCCGGCCCGCGAGAGCCCGGGCAGGGACTAAATATATGATTTATTAAATATATTATTTATTAATTTTGTAATATATTAAATATATACTTTATTAAATTTATATTTTATTGAATATGTAATTTATCAAATATATATATTCAAATATACACTAAATATATTGTTTAGTGCATTTTACAATGGAAGAAAGTTGAGCAGAATTAAGTTCAAGTTATCGTTTGTCTTACCCTCTGACACAATTCAGGTTTCTCGTGTGGTTCCTTGTAAACATTAATTGCCCGCCCCTGGTCTAGGGCAACCGAAATGGCGCAACTCCTGCAGTCACCTTGTTTCAAAACTGCCAAGACCCAATACCCTTTTTCCCGAGATAAGAAGTTTGTGTTGTTATCCATATATTCACTCTGGTGTGTGCTCACAGTTTATAAAAAATTCTTATGTATGGGAATGGAATAAATCTTTGAAGCACTTTTGAGAGTATTTAAAGTGAAAGGAAGGTAAAAAAAATGTGGATTGCTCTCCAGGCGAAGTCCGGGATACATCGAATGTTCAAGTGCAGTCTATTCCTTTTTTTTTTTTTTTTTTTTGTAATATAAACTGAATGGAAACAAAGATCAAACAGAATACAATAGGCAGCATGTTACAGCTTGAATAAGGTTGATACATCCTACATTGTTTAAGCAGTTGATGTGATTCTTTAAATATGCAATTTTTCTTTTATTCATTTACCTTCATTTTACTCATAGTTTTATTTTACATAGAACTGGTAAATTCTGAACTGTTGCGAACTGTAAGTTACAACTTTACTATTTCGTTTGGTTTCCTTTGTTTGTGTTTAACGCCTTTCCCTCAAGCCAAGGAAATAACTGATTGCATTCAAACTCCACATTATTCTCAATTAGGACTGACATGGAATATGAGTTTATCAGTTCACTTCTTCAGAAACTTATTCCATGTCTCATTGTTCTGGTCAACACTGTACTGTTAGAAGGAATGACCCAGCCAGTCTAGAGTAAATGACCCAGTCTAGGGTGAATGACCCGATTTAAAAGGAATGACCCAGTCTGGAATGAACAATCCAATAAGAAGGAATGATCCAATTTAGAAGAAATGGGCAAATCTAGATGGCGTATTTTATAAGGGTAATCAAAAAGTCACTTGACAGTAATGTAATTCTTGTATTGCAGTGTACAATATGTGTTTTTCCATCTTGTATTTACATGAATAACAAGGTTTTAAATTCTTCATTAAGATGTTGATTAGTAGGATGCAACATTGAAATATTTCCACTCTTTCTTCATCCTGAAATTGAAGAAGAAAATTTTGATGTAAAAAAGGAACAAACCGGGAGATATTTTTGTCTTTTTCATTACAATTTGTCATTTGAACACACTCAGTGCAAGAAACATAGAGATATAAATGTAGAAGAAATGTAATTTGTATAAATGTTGAATTAAACATGTAGAATAAAAGTCTTGTCATGTCTTCTACTTACGTTTTTTTATTTGTATACAAAGATCAGCAGTCCTAAACACAAACGTCCTTTACGCATTTCAGTGAGCCTATGCAAATGCCGCCATTGTAATCGTGGTGGTCACAACGCTCGCCGGCAGTCTGTCGGGGAGAATGGTGTAAATTAGGATATATATATATATATATATATATATATATATATATATATATATATATATATATATATATATATATGCGTATATTACATATGTACGTGTTTATATACATGGATAAATACGCTTGCATATACACATGGACATCTATACCGACACATAGTCATACCCACACACGTGTGCGCATATTCACTTATGTGTGTGTGGTATACGGGCAGCGATCTCCGAGCAATGTTGCTGAGATGCGTTCAAGTCCCGCATGCCAAGCGAAGGCAACCCCGGCCGTGTCTTGCGCATGCGGGGTAATTTAGCGGCAAAAAAGTAGCCGCAATTTGACTGAAGCGACAAGAGTATCACGCTAAATGTTTGATTATTGAATTCTACCATTATTTTCACAGACACACACGCGCGCACACACAACGGATGCGAAGAACCCTTAAACTAACTCCAAAATCATCAACATCCTCACACATTTATCATCGCACTGAACTCACCCTCAGGCAGACTTCGCAGCAGCCGCAGTGTTCGAGCTGGGTGCCGTGGCTGCAGTCGGCTGTGCTCGGGCAGGAGACGGTGCTGCAATCCCCGCAGTGGTGAGCCTCGGCCCTGCAAACACATTGCAAATTGTTAATATAGACAGAGTAAGATGAAAAACCGCCATTCGTTGAAGTTGAAACGTTCAAAGTCCCGTTTGTGCAAGAGAAAAAAATGACCATGAGATAGCTGGGGGAAAATGAAGCGAGGAACCAAAGGCATCCTACACGAAGGTCTTGTCTTATATTGAGCAAATATCCTCCCCAAATGACCCTCCCTCCGTACCACACTCGCGCATGAGGGCGAGGAAACTGAAGCGGTACCAAAGCATCCTACATCTATTTCCTTGCCGTAAACTGACCCAAATGACGCCACTCACTGTCAGGGGCGCCATTTGGGGTTTTGGGGCAAGTGCTCCCCACAAGACTTTCTTCCAAGATATGGCTTACACACAAAGAAGGGCCACATTCCCACGATTTTATTTACTAAAATACACTTTCATATCTCTGGCCGTATCTTGAAAATGATCGTAGGTTCATCAAAAATTCTGGAGGGGCTCGTAGCACGCTAGAAACTATTCACTTCGCTCGCCAACCTAAACCTCCTTCCCCCAACCCCAAGAAAAAGCTGAAGTGACGCCCCTGCTCGCTGCTGGACTCACCCGCACAGGAGGGCGAGGAGGACGACGCCAGCGAGGAGGACGAGAGAGGCGCGCATAATGATGTTGTCTCTGCGACGGCTGTTGCACGACTGACTTAGCGTCCTCGCCGCCTCATGGTACTTACTCCACAGTCGAGGTCACATTTTTTCTCATCCTTTTGAGTAACGTCTGTTGGTCTGTTCTGTTTCCAGGAATAACTTTTTTTCAGGAACATCCGTGATGATTATTTTTTAGTCTCGCCTTTTAAAGTAGGAAATTAATTTGATTTACATAATTTAAGGTCGAATAGAACAGATTTTCTTATAACTTTAAAGTACACTGTGTTCAGGTTTGAATTCAGATTAAGATAGATGTAAAAAAACGCTTTAGATAGGTATAGATGCTAGAGGGGAGAAGGTTAAACCCGCTTACACGTTTTTTAGATTATGTGAAAATGTTGAGTTTGTATCAAGTGTTCAGTATCTGTGGATAAATACCGCTTTCCCGATTTACTTCTAACAAAGTATATTTGATTTAATAAAGTCAATACATTTAATCGTGTCGAAAATTAGTACATATAATAGCTGGTGTGAAATATTTCTCACTACTGGTTCCTATTGAAAATGATCCTGATACTTCTCCCATATTAAGGAAATTAACTCCTATCTGTTGGTGTTAGTCATACATGCATGACCAACAGCAACATTTACACTGACTACCCTGTCTGCTCAAGGGCACCTTTAGCATCGACATTTTCAGGTGTACGCACGTAAGGGGATTGCGACANTAATGATAATATAATAATAATAATAATATACATATTAATATTAATATAATAATAATAATGATAATAATATAATAATAATAATAATAATAATAATAATGAATTAATTATAATATACAACAACAACAAAACAACAACGATGACAATAATGATATGTCAATTATAGTAATAATAATAATAACAATAAATAAAGAAAGATACAGAACAAACAAAGCAAACAAAAAACCAACCAAACAAAAACAGACAAAAACGAAAAAACAAAACAAAATGAAATAAACGAAAAAAAGGCAAAAAACAAAGCAAAACAAACAAACAAACAAACAAAACACACAAAAACAAACAAAACAAACAAAAACAATAAGTAAAACAAAAACAAAACAAAACAAAAAACATAAGAAAGGGCAAGAAACAAGAACTTAAACAAACAAAAGACAAAACAAACAAAATCAAAACAAAGAAAGCAAAAACAAAAACAAACAAACAAAAGACAAAAACAAACAAAAATCAAAACAAAGAAAAGCAAAAACAAAACAAACAAGCGTTCTCCCTGTACGCCCACGAGTCTGCGGAGGCGGGCTGTGGGTGTAGCAACGTACACAGTCTACACGGAGAGTGGGTGGAGGGTGGGTGGTCAGTGTTACCAAAGGGTGGCGGGCGGGCTGAGGTGGGCTGAGCGGGTGGGCCTGAGGCGGGCTGCAGTGTGGGCGTGGGGTGGCGTGGGTGGTAGTGGGAGGGGGTTGGGCTGAGGGGGCGGGGTGGGCTGAGGTGGGCGGGGGGATGACGGATTGGGCAGGGGGTTAGACGTAGTCGGAAGGGGGTGGGTTAGAGGTGGGTGGGGTGAGCAGAGTTTGAGGAGGAGTGAGTAAGAGTGGGCGGAAAGTGACCAGAGGTGGCAGAGGCAGGACGAAAAATAGGCAAGAGGTGGGCAGAGGTTACCCATCGGTGGGCAGAAGTTGCGCAGAGGTGGAGTCTGAGTGGGCAGAGGTGGGGCAAAGGTGACCAAAGGTGAGTCGGAGATTACAAGAGGAGACCGAGGAGTAGACAAGGGTGGGTAGAGGTGACCAGAGGCGGTGACTGGGCGGGGGTGGGCGGGGTGGTCGGGGAGTGGGCAGAGGTGACGAGAGATGGTGACCAGAGGGGGCTGGTGGGTAGACGAAGAAGAAGAGTGGGCTGGGGGTGGGCTGGGGGATAGATGAAGAGGAGTGGGCTGGGGGTGGGCGAGGAGTGGGCGAGGAGGGCGAGGAGTGGGCGGAGTGGGGGGAGTGGGCGATGTGGGCAGAAGTGACCAAAAGGGTCTTGGGATAGACGAGGAAGAGTGGGTGGTAGACCAAGAGTGTAGACGCAGAGGCGCGGGGATAGACGAGGAGAGTGGGCGGGGAGTGGGCGAGAAGGAGTGGGCGAAGAGTAGACGCAGAGGTGGGGAGTGGGGCGAGGAGGAGTGGGCGAAGAGTAGACGCAGAGTGGGCGGGGGACAGACAAGAAGGAGTGGGCGAGGAGTAGACGCAGCAGTGGCGGGTGGTGGGCGAGGAGGAGTGGGCAGAAGCAGAGTGGGCGAGTGGTGGGCGGAGAGGAGTGGGCGAAGAGTAGACGAGAGTGGGCGGGGACAGACCAAGGAGTGGGCGAGGAGTAGACGCAGAGTGGGCGGGGGGTTGGGCGAGGAGAGGCGAAGAGTAGACGCAGAGTGGGGCGGTAGGGGCAGAGGAGGAGGGGCGAAGATAGACGCAGAGTGGGCGAGGAGTAGACGCAGAGTGGGCGGAGGGTGGGCGAGGAGAGAGAGAGAGGGAGGGGGGGGTGCGGGCGCCACCCGCAGCGTCGCCGGCGAAGCGGTGGGCACGACGTAGGAGGAAAGCCGAAGCGCTGTCCCATCCACGAGGCGGGAAGGTCTCTCAGAAGGTGGGTTGAGGTAGCTTGAGAAAAGGTCGAGGTGGTGGTCTTTTTATTTTGCTTTTTTTTTGTTTTGTTTTGTTTTTTTTGATGTTTTTGGTTTTTTTGTTGTAGGTGTGTGTTGTGTGTGTGTTTTTTTTATTTGTGTTTATTTTGTGTGTTATGTTTTGGTTTTTTTGTTTGTGTGTGCGTGTGTATGTGTGTGTGTGTAGTGTGTGTGTGTGTTGTGTGTGTGTGTGTGTGTGTGTGGGTGTGTGTGTGTGTGTGTGTGTGTGTGTGTGTGTGTGTGTGTCTTGTTGTGTGTGCGTCTGTTCTGTCTGTGTTGTCTGTCAAGAAAAGGTCGAGGTGGATGTTTTTGCTTTTCCTTTTTTGTTTATTTTTTTTTATTTTTTAATCTTTTGGTTCTTGTTTATTCAATTATTATGCATTCATTTTTAATTCTATTTTATTTTTTCAGTTATCATTATCATATTTTATTCTCTATCTGTCTTTAATTTTCTAACTTTTTACTCTTTTTATTCAATTTATTCAATTATTCTAGTTACTCTATTATTCTTTTTCTAACTTTATTTACTTCTTTTTATTCAATTTCTTTCATACATATTCCCAAACCCACCCACCCCACCCCACTTAACCCCCCATCGCCCACGCTCCCCCAACCCCCCCCCCCTCCCCCCAACCCACCCCTAACTCCTCCCACTCCCTACCACCCAACCCCCAACCCACTCTTCTCCCACCCTTTCCCCCAACCCAACCCATCTTCTAACCCACCCTAACCCCCAACCCACCCTATCTTCTATCCACCCTAACCCCCCACCCACCTATCTTCTTAACCCACCCTAACCCCCAACCCACCTATCTTCTAACCCACCCTCCCCCCAACCCACTCATCCCTACCCCACCTAAACCCCCCAACCCATCCCTAACCCTCCCACCCCCCAACCCACCCATCCCTACACCAACCCACCCAACCTATCCCTAATCCCCCTCCCCCAACCCACCCCTAACTCC